AATAAAAAATAAATCTTAAAAAATTCAATAAAATCTAGGTAAAGTCTACAGAACATAAAATCCACCAATTTAACCCATGTAAGCATCAGTTCAGTGACATTTAGTATATTTACAATGTTATGCCACTGTTATCACTGAAAGTTCTGAACATTTTTGATCATGTCAAAAGGAAGCCTGTACCCACTAAGCCATCACTCTCCACTCCCCCACCTGCCAGCCTCTGGCAAAGAACCATCTACTTTCTGTTTCTATGGATGTTTCATCTAATGGAATCACCATCTAGTGTCCTTTTCTATCTGGCTTTTTTCATTAATCATAATGTTTTTAAGGTGCATCCTTGTTGTAGTGTGTATTCAGACCTCATTTGCCTTTATGGCTGAAAAATTACAGTGTGTGGCTCTACTACATTTATCTATTCATCAGGTGATGGACATGGGGTTATTTCTATCCTTGGCTATTGTGAATACTGCTGATAACATTCATGTACATGTTTTCATCTGAACTGAAGGCTTTAAATACAGTTATTACCTATTACTAGAGCAGTTCTTCATCTGTCTCTGAATGGTGTTCCTTAGTCTTTGCATTCTATCTAAATTATGCTCCCCTCTGCTTGAATATAATGCATGCTTGGAATCAGGGCAAGACATGAGACTGAACATTGCACAGTCCATCTGCAACACTTCTCCATGCTTCCTTTACCTACGAAGTTCTCCATTCCCATCTTGGCCATCAAAATCTTATACAAATACTATTGTATATATTCGCTACTTCATAAAACTTTCATTGGCTTTCCCAGCTGAACACAAATTCTCTTTCCTCTTGAGTTCCTCAACTGGCTTATTCTCATTCATGTTTCTTTTATCCCTTCCTCAATCGTTAGCAATTTGTTGCTATATCTTCTGCTATATGTTCTGTACTCAATGACTTTGTTTCATTAAGTGCAGAAGAAACCCTTAAGAACCATCAAGAGTTACTTCAGTGTTTGTGGTTGTACTACCGTGCTTCCAACTACTAACACCAGATACTTTCTGAGGTTGGAGTATCTTAATATTATTCCCTTTGAAATAATTAAAAATATCTTAATAACTAGAGATGACTGCATATGGTATAAATGACATTGCTTTCAATGTACACTTTCTCTTTTAAGAAAACAGCCATGCTGGGCCCAGCGCAGTAGTCTAGTGGCTAAAGTCCTTGCCTTGAATGTGTTGGGATCCCATATGGATGCCAATTCATGTCTTGGATGTTTCACTTCCCCTCCAGCTCTCTGCTTGTAGCTGAGAAGGCAGTGGAGGACGGCCTAAGGTGTTGGGACCCTGTACTTGTGTGGGAGACCCAGAATAAGCTTTTGGCTCCTGGCTTTGGATCGGTTTACCTACTGCTATAGTCATTTGGGGAGTGAACCCTTCACTCTGTAAATCTGCCTTCCCAATAAAAAAAATAAATCTTTTTTTCTCCTTAAAGACTTACTTATTTTTATTAGCAAGGGAGATATACTGAAAGAAGGAGACAGAAATAAAAATCCTCTGTCTGCTGGTCTACTCCCCAAGTGACCACAATGGCCAGAGCTGAGCTGATGTGAAGCCAGGAATTAGGAGCTTCTTCTGGGTCTCCTATGTGGGTGCAGGGTCCCAAGGCCTTGGGTTGTCCTCGACTGCTTTCCCAGGCCATAAACAGGGGGCTTGATGGGAAATGGAACAGCCAGGACATGAACTGGCATTCATTTGGGATCCCAGTAGATGCAAGCTGAAGATTAAGCCACAGCAGGTGAAAAAATAAATAAACCTTTAAGAAGAATTAAAGAAAACTGGCCATGTCTCTTTTTTATGAAGGTTCTTCTAAATTCTTGAAAGTACTCCTGCATAGATGGGTATATTTGTGACTATCCAAGGGAGAGCTCATAGTGTTCATTTAATATATCCAGCTGGATGTTTTCAACCAAAATGTAAAACTAATATATTCAAATGTAACCCAATTACAGCCACTAACACCATATATATATTCAGTCCAGAAATTAAAAACAAAAACAAAACAAAACCACATACACAAACACACCCTACTAATACAGAAGTTTGGTAACTAGGGGTGATGTTTCATTGTCCTGTCCTTCACTTAGGCTTTTCAACATTTTTCAAATGGGACTGATTTTATTTTGCTCCTTTTATAACTAATGTTTTGGTGCACAGCTGATATGAAAGTCTTTGCCACATTACTGATATTTTTCTTGGGACTGATTCCCAGAAGTAGATTTAGCATAGCAAAGTATACAAATTTTTAACTAAAAGTTTTAAAATAAAAACAAATAGGAGAGTATTTAAAACATGAGATATCTTCACAGAAATATACAATTATGTATCATTGATCACTATTTTAAAGATTAAAAGGTATTGGGTTTGGTGCATGTTCCAGCTGCTCCACTTCCCATCTTGCTCCCTGCTTGTGGCCTGGGAAAGCAGTATTGGACGATCCAAAGCCTTGGGACCCTGCAATCTGCATGGGAGACTCGGAAGAAGCTCCTGGCACTTGGCTTTGGATTTGCTCAACTCTGGCTATCACGGCCATATAGGAAGTGAACCAGAGGACGGAAGATCTTTCTCTAGGTACCTCCTTTTCTCTTGTAAATCTGACTTTCCAATAAAAATAAATAAATCTTTAAAATAAAAAAAAAATTAAAAGGTAGGTGAAATTCCTTTCACAGTTGAAATTGTTGTGTGGGATACATGCATCCCATATTAGAGTTGATGTTTTGGGTTCTTGCTCCATTTCTGATCTAGTTTTCTGCTAACTCGCACCTTGGGAGGCAGCAGATAATGACCCAAATACTCAAGTACTTGTTACCCATGTGGGCAACCTGGCTGAGCCTGGCCCAGTCCCGGCTCTTGTAGGCACTTGTCTCATTTTCCTGGAGATTTTTCTCATTTGCATCTTCCATTCTATTAAAAAAAGAGTTTCTTGTGTGCATGGGTCTTTGGCGAAGTGATTCAGACACCACTTGGTATTCCACGTTAGGGTGTCTGAGTTCAACAGTAGCTCTGCTTCACAGGGCCCTTCTTGCTAATGCACACCTTCAGAAGCAGCGGCTGATGGCTCAAGCAGCTGGATCCCTACTCCCCACATGAGAGATCCAGACGGATCCTGGATTCCCAGCTCTGGCCTAGTCTATCCCTGAACAGTGTGGGCTTTGCGGGGTGAATCAACAGATGGAAGATCTCTCTTTGTCTTTCAAATAAGCAATTACATTTTTGGTCATATTTCATAATTCTATTTTTTATTCTTGGCATTGTCCTTTTTCCCATGCACCTGTTCTTTTATTACATTTGTAAGATTGACAATATCTGCCTGGGCTATAGAGTGAATTTTTAAAAAATATACACAACATGTGCTGATCAGAACAAGGTGATAAACCCTTCCCCATCTCTGATATTATGACTGGATGCTTGCAGCATCCTTCTTCTACCTGCTCACCCCAGTACATACTAAGTTGCTGTGAATTTAATCTCCCCACTGTGCTGAGTAATACTAGGAACGTAACTCTTTATGGTCTGACTTGGATTTCATCCTGTTCTTAGTTCATAGTCTGAATGTCGTATCTTGCTGAGTGTACCGACTGATGCTTCTGAAAATGCCTTTCTCCCACTGTCTGTGATTCCTCTGAGTTCCAGTCTTACAGGTTTGTTTTTTGACTCATTCTTTCAAACACCTGGTACTGCCTCTGACTGGGGCAGCTGGCCCTGTGGCACATGTGGATACTCTTGAGGCCTTTCCACCACAAAACGACCATTCAACGTGGCTCCCTGAGGGGCTCCCATCACCCACACCTGTAGATCTGTTCTCTGGGACTGGACAGCGCCCTTGGTAGGCAGTCTGCCAGTTTGCTACCTGGTGAATGGAGAGGAGGTTAAGGGAGCTCTCAGCATTCTGAGAGCCCATCAGGGGCAAGACTTGGGAGAAGGAAAGTCTCTCCTTTGAGAACACAGATGACCACAAGGACCTTCTGCTGGAACCACACAGCTACCCCATCCTCAGCTGGGCCTAGTTTCCCGTGTCTGGAGCCTTATATGAACCCAACCCGTTGCACACATGAAGCTGACTACATTCTATGAGGCTTCTGTATGAAAAGGAAACAATCTGGGCCCAGCGGCGTGGCCTAGTGGCTAAAGTCCTCGCCTTGAACGCTCTGGGATCCCATATGGGCGCTGGTTCTAATCCCGGCAGCTCCACTTCCCACCCAGCTTCCTGCTTGTGGCCTGGGAAAGCAGTGGAGGACTGGCTCCTGGCTCCGGATCGGCGCAGCACCAGCCGTTGCAGTGAATCATTGGACAGAAGATCTTCTGTCTCTCCTCTCCTCTCTGTATATCTGACTTTGTAATTTTGTAATGAAAGTAAATAAATCTTAAAAAAAAAAAAAAAGAAAACAATCTTTTTGCACCAAAGCCTAAAATTAAGCAAAAAATATTCCCTAGTATCTGCCACCCCAACTCCAATGGGAGGAAAGAGATCAGTGTAAACTCCCTCCCTTCCCTCTGCTCTTCAAGCTTTTCTCTCCTCCCCCCGCCGTATAACACCTCAGAATGAGTATTCAGGGTCCAAGTTTGTTTTAAAATAACCCAATGAGCTGACAGACGGAGCTCCTGGAATTCTGCTGCTTGTGCTAGAGTCCACAGATGGTTAACTGCCGGCAGTTACAGGGTGGTGCTGTTACCATACCCCAATGTTTGAAAGCCTTCAGAAAAAAAAAATCTGAGTTAATTAGCATGCACCACAAGCATTTGTTTTGTGTTGCAATAGTCTAAGAATTTAGATAATAAGAAAACACAACGGTGCATTCTCCCAAATTCTGAGATTTTACTAAGAATATAGATTATAAGGAAAGAATTCAACCTCTGTGAATGTGCTCTTAAGTGGCTAATCTATCACCTTACCTATTAAGAAACACTGATTATATTGTATAATAAACTAAATGCTAATAGCAGCTAATATAGGAATAATTCTCAGTTTACCTCTCCAATCTGCTTCATCCACAAATCTCTTCCAAGAAACTCCTGATGCAAGACTACAGGTGCTGAGTTCAGGTTAAAGGCCGTAGAGTCAGTGCTTTTTTCTTTAATAAAGGGTTGGAGGTCAGAATTTATCTAGAAAAAAAAAATCAAAGGAGAGAAATCAATGCAATGTGTGTACACTGTATATTTTTATAATGCTCAGAAAGCTAGTTAATGCACTGAGAAACAAGGATTAAGGAATGCAATTTTTAGGTGCATTTTAATAATTTAAAGTGTATTTTAGACAATTTAACAATAACTTTGAAAATTCTTCAGAAGTAGTTTTCCCTAATAATATTTTTTTGGGAAGGAGCAGCATCCTCCATTTTACTTTTTGAGTCACAGTTAAGGATTTAGATAAAGATTTAATAAATGTAGTGCCTAGTAAAGTAACTGAAGATTTAGTAAAATATGCCAAAAACGCTTCTGGATATCTCCCACCTAGGCATATATTTTCTAACTTTATTGAACCATTTAAACAATACTTGAAAATGTTAAATCCATTAAAAAATATTTCTTCATTTGTTAATGTTTGCTACAGAGGAGAGGGCCCGCAACCTATCATGGGCCATGGGTCGGGATGGAGAGGGATGGGTGGGTAGTGAGCAGGCAGAGCCAACGCACTTCTCTTCACTGTCAGCCCACATCAGCCCCTGGGGACAAACAGCATCCTCGATGTCATCCCAGGGACCTTGGGGAGAGGGGATCCAATTTTTAAAAAGGCAACAACGTAGCCACTAATTTGGGGGACATTTTGTATTTCATGCATCATTCAAAAAATCAGTTATTACAAATAAAGCTTTTAATTTTATTAAGCATGTTCCAAATTCCATTAACTCTCTGTAAGTTGACTGACATAAGCAGCTATAAGGAACTATAACAAAAATAAAAATAAAAAATAGGAAAGGTCTTCAAAAAGTTCAGGAAAACAAAAATTAAGAAAAAATTGCAAGAATTTTAAAACTACTTTGAACCAAATAAACTTACCTTTGAATCCTTTTTTTTTCTTTGTGGTACACTTATATTTTTCCATTATGTAAGTGGCATGATTACATATTATTTAAATCTGCAAGAGTTCTCTCAAGAATCCTTTTGGGATGTAAGCAAATATAAACACCACAAATATGGTTTCAGCAAGCTCAAGTTCTCTGCCAAAATTACAGTCCTTATCAATCATGTAACAACAATCATCTTTTATAACTGATAGATCTTAAGTGCACAATAAATGTTGTTTTTTTTTTTTGGTGGAGAAATAAAAGCAGCTTTCTAGCTGGCTAATGGTTTCTTGGGTAACATGTTAGTTAGGCAAGCATTGACAGAAGCTAAAGGGCATCACATACCTTGTGGCTCATGGCCATGTGCTTCCCGTACTGAAATGCCATATCCTGCACCTTCGCGCCATGCTTTGCTAACTCCATTGCAGCCTGGCAGCTCTTTGCCAGTAAGGCACCATGAGAGAGAAAAGCCTGCTCCTTCCAAGCTGATATTCCAATATCATCTGTGATAAAATTTTCCTAAAAGGGTAATAACAAAAGTCAAGATTTTAAAAAGGCTTTAGGAGTAATTGCTTCTAGTTTTTGAACAGTAAAGTTGAGAAAGGAACCATCCGAAACACTAGGGTTGGTGCAGCGAGAGAGAACTGAAAATGCTGAACCGCGGTTCAACCCATGGAAGCAAGAATAGGGTACTGCTACTTAGAGAAATATTATTACTTATGTTATTGAGTTAAGGAACTTCTATTAAAATATACTCAGTGGGATAAGGCAAAAAGTACCAATTTTGAATTCCAAACTCACTACCTTCATCATTGAGTCATTCTGAATGTTTTTCTAGAACATAAGTGTTGCATTTAAGCTATGTGAAAGTGTCAACGGCTTAACAAAGGAACTGCATCCTCTTATGGACAGTTATGCAGGAAAAAAATCAGTGGGAGGTAAACCACTACATAGGAGACTGATCAGATTACAACACTTGCCAGCACTTATTTCCCTAAGAAGCAAGGCCATAAGGGAGAATTACAAAAAAATCGAGGGCCTGGTGTGATGGCCTAGTATCTAAAGTCCTTGCCTTGAACACTGGGATCCAACATGGGTGCCAGTTTGTATCCAAGCTGCGCCACTTCCCATCTAGCTCCCTGTTTGTGGCCTGGGAAAGCAGCTGAGAAGGGCCCAAAGCCTTGGGACCCTGCACCCGCTTGGGAGACCCAGAGGAGCTCCTGGCTCCTGGCTTTAGATTGGTGCAGCTCTGGCCATTGTGGCCACTTGGGGAGTGAACAACTGGATGGAAGATCTTCCTCTCTGTCTCTCCTTCTCTGTGTAAATTTACCTTTCCAATAAAAACAAATACATCTTAAAAAAATTTTTTTTGAAAACCACTGTGATCTTTATGCGCAAGTAGGTATATCTGCTACCCTAGACCAGTGTTTATCTAACAGAAATGTAATATAAGCCATGTACACAATGTAAAACTTTGTAGGAGCCACAAAGTGCAAAGAAACAGGTGGAATTAATCTTTAATTATTATTTTATTGTTTTTTCCAATACAGCTTTAAAAAATTTTATTTATTTTATTTTTCATTGGAAATGTAGATATACAGAAAGAGATACAAAGAGAAAGATTCTCTGTCCACTGCTTCAGTCCCCGTGTGGCCACAACAGCCAGAGATGAGTTGATCTGAAGCCAGGAGCCAAGAGCTTCCTCCAGGTCTCCCATGTGGGTGCAGGGTCCCAGGGCTGTAGGCCATCCTTGACTGCTTTCCCAGGCCACAAGCAGGGAGCTGGACGGCAAGTAGAGGAGCCAGGACACGAACCAGTGCCCATATGGAATGCTGGTGCATGCGAGATGAAGATTTAACCACTATGCTATTGCGCTGCGCCTACCTCAACACAGTTTTATGTTACAGGAATTCATCCCTCCCCTTCTCTCCTTTCCTCCCTCCCCACTTGTTGCTTCATTATCATAATAATGCAGTCCCTTAGTCAAAGTTAGAAGTTTAATTTACTTAATGCTTAAATGTATGATATTTAAATGTATGATGACATGATAAGCACCAGCAAAGGTAGAAAATTTAGTATCATAAGATAGAGATATATTTGTACGTTTCATTGGGAATTTTACCTTTATTCAGGAGTACAGACACATATTACATAGTACCTTTACTTCCTGGTATGCTAGTCTCCCTTGTACAGTTCACATGTATGTGTGTGTGTGTGTGTGTGTAATATATACATATATGTACACACATATATATGTCTCTGTGTGTTTAGATACACATGTACATATGTATATATTTTGTATTTATACATTTGTATAAATATATATTGTGTTTTGTACATTGGCTGTCTTATATCAGAGAGAACATATATCTGTCCTTTTTGGATTGGTTTACTTTGGCTTTCAGCTGGGATCATTTTGCTGCAAATTGTAATATCTCATTCTTTTTTTATGGTTGAGTACTTTTCCCCAGAGTAAATGTACCATGATTTCTTTATCCTTTACTCTGTTGATTCGATGACCACTGGGTTGCTTTCTTATCACCACTATTGTGAACTGGGCTGCTATGAATAAAGGGTTGCAGGTCATTCTCTCCAATGCAGATTTCATTTCATTTGGACATGTCCTCAGGAGTGGGATGGCTGGGTTGTATGGCAGATCAATTTTCAGTTGTCTGAGAACTCTCCATATTAATTTCCATAGTGGTTGCACTAGTTTATACTCCCACCCACAGTGGATTAGGGTGCCTTTTCCTTCACATCTGTACCCATAGTTGCTGTTTGTTGATTTCTATGTAAAAGCCATTCTCGACTGGAATTAGGCAGATCTTCAATGTGGTTTTTATTTGCCTTTCCCGAATAGCTATGAAACCTGAGCAGATTTTTCATGTGGCTATATTAGCCTTTTGAATTTAATCTTTTGAGAAACATCTGTCCTTTGCTCACCTCCTAACAGAGCTGTCCTTTGCTCACCTCCTAACAGGGCTGTTTGTTTTGCTACTGTGGAGTTTCTGGAGCTCTTTGTAGATCCTGGATATTAGTCTCCGATCTGCTGTATAGTGTGTGAAGCTCTTCTCCCATTGTTGGTTGCTTTCTCACTTCACTGACCACTTCCCTTGCTTCTTACTCTGATGTAGTCACATTTGTTCATTTGGCTTTAACTGCCTGTGCTTCTTCTTTCCTAAGAAGTCTTTGCCTACACCGATGTGTTGCAGAGTATTCCCTATGTTTTTCTCTAGTAACTGGATGGTGTCTGGGTGTAGGTTTAGATTCTTGCTCCATTTAGAGCTGAGTTTTGTATAAGGTGAAAGGTAGGGGTCTTGTTTTTTACTTCTGAACATAGAAATGCAATTTTCCTAGCAGCAATTGCTGAAGAAAGACCATCCTTTCTTCTTGGGTGGTCTGGTGAAATTAATGATATATCTATCCCATATCTAAATATTATCATTTCAACATATAATAAACAACAATTCTAAATGAGGTATTTATTATACACTCTCTTTAATGTGAAGCTTTCAAAGTCAGTGTGTCTTGCACATGACATCGTCACAGGCCAGGAGCATTGCACTGGACAGCTGCGCCTGGGCAGTGGGCTCCTTTAGGACAGAAATAATGCTGCAAACACACAGAACAACGTTCACTGCTTTGAAACCATAACCTTGACATCCAGAGGAGTGGTTAATTCACACATTCTTATTTCTGCACCTCCTGCCACACACAACCTTTCTACTGTTACTCTTATTTACTTAATTACTCTATTTTTTTTCCTCTGCAGCTCATGCCAGAATCTTTCTACTTTTATTCCTATTTGAAGACAAAATAAAATGTATTAAGAAAACTTAAATGGAGGTCATTAAAAGGTCAGCTCAGGTTTTGCTCCACCTCTTTTATTATGTTGCAGGGAATCTTCAACCCATTGGATACATCAAATTCTCAATTTCATTTTGTTAAGTCTCTGAACAAAAAGAAAGCTCCATGAGGTGGAGTTGTCAAGGCAGCAGATTAAGCTATGGCCTATGGTGCCAACATGCCATATGAAGGGTAGGCTGTTCTGTTTACAATCCAGCTCTCTGCTAATGCACCTGGGAAAAGAAGTGGAAGAAGGCCTAAGTATTTGGGTCCACGCCTCCCTGGGGAAGACCTGCATGGATGGAGTCCCATGTTCCTGGTTTTGGTCTGGCCCAGCCCCAGCAGTATTGGACATTTGGAGAGCAGCCCAGCAGGGAAAGATCTCTTTTCTTTCTTTTTGTCACTGTGCCTTTCAACTAAATATAAGAAATTAAAAAAAAAAGTAATCTCCACTTATGGCAACACTTATGCTTAAAAAGCTACACAAAAGAGATAAAGTGTATAAACTTAAGACCTACTTTACAAAACATTAAATATAACTGGAGAATATATTTCAAATTAACCATGTTTATAAACCTAAGAAAATATTATTTCTCCATATAGAGACATCTGAAAAACAACTATTATTTATTTTTTTGAAAAGTAAACAGAGAGAGAGAGACAGAGACAGAGATAGAGACAGAGAGACGGAGAGGAAATCAGATAGGGAGAGATATCCTATCCATTGGTTCAGTCCTGAAGCACCTACAACAACTAGAGCTGGACCATTCCGAAATTGCGAATCAAGAACTGAATCCAGGTCTCTCACATGGGTAGCAGGGACACAACCAGCACCTGCAGCCTCCAGGGTGCATATTAGCAGACAGCTGGAGCAGGGAATGCAGTCGAATGTTGAATCCAGACACAATGACATGAGATACAGGAATGCCAGGTAGCATCTTACTCATGACATAAAACACCTATCACTCAACTCCTATTTTTTTAAAAGACTTATTTATTTCATTTGCAAGAGCTAAAAATAGGCAGGCAGGGAGACAATGTGAGAAAGTTCACATGGGTTTACCTCCCAAAAGGCTGCAATGGCCAGTTGTAAGCCAGAAGCTTCATCCAGGTCTCTCATGTGGGTACAGGGGTTCAAAGCCTTGGGCTATTCTCTACTGCCTTCCCAGGCCATTAGCAGGCAGATAAATTGCAAACAGATTAGCCAGGACACTAACCAGAGTCCATATAGAGGCTACCACTATGCTAGCCCCTCAATTCCTATTTAAAAATGTTGCTTATTTATTTGAAAGTCAGGTTATATATAGAGAAGGAAAGACAGAGATCTTCCACCTGCTGCCTCACTCCTCAAGTGGATGATGCAGTGGTCATGGAGCAACTAGGCCACAGCCGGAAGAAGGAAGCTACATTCACATGTCCACATGGTTGACAGGAGGCCCCAGCACTTGGGGCCATTTCTGCTGTTTCTGCCTGGCGATTAGCAAGGAGCTGGATTGAAGTCGAACAGCTGAAAAATGAACCAGTGTCCATAAAGGATGCCGGCACTGCAGATTGTGACTTAATGTGCTATGCCACAATGCTGGCCCCTAAACGTCTATTCTTGATGAGAAAAACAACAACAAAAAAACCATAATAAAAACAGGAACTGATGTGTATGTGCTTAGTATGATACA